TTGGTGTCTTCGTCGTCGCTTCGTCGGTCTTCAAACGCCATTGTTTTGCTGCTATGCCCCAGACTGCCAGAAGGCGATCAGAAGTTTCTGATTGCCGACGTTCTGCAGCCTGCTTCAGTTCCTCAAGTCTCTGCGCGGTTCTTTGTAACCAGGGTGAAAATCGAATTGGTATGACGCTTGATGACGTCAGTGCCATGAGTGGCAGGTAGCCAACTTATGCCGAGACCTCGCCGGGTTTCCAGTTCTCCTCCTTTCTCATCTGGGCTTGTGTCCGGCAGTGGCGAAGTTGTGGAGTTTCAGTTCCAGTGTCATCGTAAGATATCAGTTTCTGATTTACCTCGAGTTATATGCGTTGTTTATCATTTACTTTGTTTGCAGAATGGAAGCGTAGATCGTTAAATTATTAGTTGGATACGTTACTGATTAATGAGAATTACTGATGAATCCCGTTTTCAGCGTTGCAAAAGAAGAACAAAAGATGAATAGCACAGTATGTCCTCTCGAAAGAACAAGCCAATTCAGCTAAAAGGGAACAATCATTAAATATATGAAACTGTTGTTACGCACAAAGGAAGATGATGTGTTTTTATCCACTTTAAAGGTTGTTTTGTCTTGAGGTGTATTAGCGAAATAACGCATTATTTATATGACATCTTAGTTACATCATTTAACTCACTATTGTTTTGGCCGCTATGACTTTTTGTTAATAGAATTATAGCTGAAGCTTTTTGGTCATGAAGTATGAGCTTCCTGGTATTGGAACTGTTTCTGGTTTTCCTGCTGACCATATTTCTGTTGCACAAGTACGGAAATTGGCGACGACAGCATCTGATCGTAACTCTTGCCGTGTTGTTGGCATGGAACTTTGCGTTCACGATCGTGTTCACGCTTCCATTGGACGTTGTCTTGGTAAGTTCGTCTAAACACGGTGCCTAAAGTTCTAGAAACAGAAAATTGGAAGATTAGACGAAAGTTTAGTAGTATAAAGTTTTTCACTAAATTTTCTAATTTAGACCTTCTTCAAACGCTGTGTTTCGGATGCAAATATCACGGCATATTTCCCATGTCAAAACGTCACCGATAACAGCAAAGACTGTATCGTTTCCCTTGCTGCTCTTGATCGAGGCTGTAAAATCCCGAGAAATTACGTACCGGACTACGTGTTGCCTTTGTTGTGGCGAATCGTCTATTGGACTTCACAGATTCTGACATGGTAGAATTTATTGCACGGTTTTTCGGTCGATCAGTTATTCTGTATTCGTCATTTTTCAAAATGCAGCAATCGGTATCTACTATAAACAATAAATTAGTGACATGGTTTGCTAGTAAAAAATCAAATAGTAGTGGTTAAAAGTGTAATGCAACCATTTAAAGTGTGGGCACCTCACAGCATGACCTTAAAATTCGTAAATCTAACGTAGAAACACGATGGCATCCTCTTATGCCATTGATAAAGAGGTCGTCTCGCTTCTATTTCTTGTTCAGCTGTACAGGTGCACCCAAGTGAAGAAGAATCGTTGTCCTCCGTTCAGAGAGTATAACGAACTGCAAAATCAACTCTTTGCCTCTTAACGAAACCGTCTCATACGTCTTAAGGAGCTCTATTACTATTCTTAATAACTCGGATACCATTTCTTCGTTGGCCATCTGACGTTTGTCTTTGCCCATTCTCCTCGAAACTGAGGCAAAATGGCATTATGAAAGTGTACCAGGGCAGAACTGGCAAACGTTTTGTCCAGTTCACTAAGTAGTTAGTAATAAAAATTCATTACCCTCTTCTGTGGCATGTAGAATCAACGACTGTTCAAACTACGCCGATGTTTATCCTGTTATCCTTATGCCGTATGACTTGGCATGGTTCTCAAAGCTAATTGCAGAGTGAATCTTATTTTGCGCGAGTTACCTATCAAGGTGAATATTTCTAGGAGATCGGACC